TGTCTTGCTGGGTATTTTGGTTTGTTCCGTTTTGCTGTCGATCTCCGGTTCTTCCTCCTTTTTTTTCTTTGTTTCTGTGTCTCGTTCTGTCTCTCTTTTTTGTCTCGCAGGTGGGTGGTGGCTTTTATAGCCACCACCGGTGCGGTCATCGGACGGTCCAAAGAGAGGGCTTTGGTGAGTCACCGGACTACCAGTGGTGACTCACCCCGTAGCCTTGGCGTGGACGGCGGCGTTGATCTTCTGGAGCCTTCATTCGGGACGTGGCAGCGGCGGAGGCGTCGGCAGTGGGCCATTGGACCACTTGGCAGTGAGGCGGCGGCTGGGATCTGGAAGCATCAGAGGCGGCTGGGTGTGGCTAGGGTTTAGAAACCCTAGCTGAAACCTTACTAATTGTTTAGGGTTTCTGGTTGGCTGGACCGGTTCTAGTTGGCTTGTAACTGGGCCGGTCCAGTTGTAATTATTTATTAAATAATAATAATATATAATAATAATATATAATATTAATAATAATAATAAATAATAATAATAATAATAATAATAATAATAATACTAATAATAATAATAATAATAATAATAATAATATTAATAATGATAATAATAATATTAATAATAATAATAATAAAATTAATAATAATAATAATAATAAAATGGATAAAAAAATAGTATCTTCAGGTAGCACTTTAAATTCTTCTTGCTCCTCGACTTCGATCTACCATGTTTATGACTGCTGCTTTGGCCACGTTCTGTTGATCTCCCTCTCATCGTTGTCAACGCTTGTGCTTGTTGCAGATTTACTTGTCTGTCTTCCTTGTTCTTGTGGCGATTTTCTTCTTGTAGAACAGCATCTGCAACATCATCGAAGACTAGACTGGTGACATTACTGTTTGTCAAGTTGATGATGAGTTGATCATACGAATCAGGTAGACTTTGAAGTAGAAGTTCAGCACGTTCTTGTTCTCCTATTTTACAGCTTAAGGATGTAAGCTGAGAAAATAAGGTGTTCAGTATATTTAAGTGCTCCGTCACTGAAGTAGATTCTGGCATACGGAGAGTGTACAATTTCCTCTTAAGGAAAATTTTATTGTGCAACGATGTGGCCTCGTACAATTTGGTGAGATGATCTCATATCTCCTTAGCTGTCTTTTTCTCCTCGATGCTTGACAATACTTCATATGCTAATGCTAGATGAAAGTTTGGCATAGCATTCCCATCCATCTCGTTCCATTTGATGTCATCTGCGAAATCCACCGGCCTTTCACTGATAGCTGCTAGACAACCGTCTTTCCTCAGGATGGCCTTCATCTTCAATTTCCACAATGAGAAATTTCTCCCATTGAATTTTTCAATATCAAATTTCGTTGCCATAGCTTCTTTTACGGATAGCTCCCACTATTTCACTATCGTGAATAGTTCTCTGTAACCTTCAAAGAATGTGTAATAACTTCTTATTTTCTTATGTTGGAGGATCCACCTTTTGGTGGCAACCACAAAGACAATAAGCAGATATTACACACTCTAATCTAGCTCTGATACCAATTGTTGCGGAAGATGGCTATCGGATAGAGAAAAATCACAACTGATAATTTGAGAAAATAAAAATAAAGATAAAAAAAGAGACACAAAATTTACGTGGAAAACCCCTAAATAAAATAGGGTAAAAACCACGGGCAACGGTATAAGAATTTCACTATGAGAAAATAGGAATTACAACCTCTCTCGATCTACCAAGGAGAAAACAATGATAATTTTCTCCAGCTAAAAAAGAGAAAACAACTCTCAAGAAACTCTCTAAAATTTTCCTAGTATTGGAAGAAAGCTAGAATGCTTTAGGATGATTTTGAAGCTAAATAAGCTAGGGTATTTATAGTTGAAACTTAAGGACTAATCTTATAAATACCCTAAAGTACAATGACTAAATTGTGTAATTTACCCTATACCAAAAATCAACAAAAAATACAACCTTTTTTGACAATTCCACCATTCGGTGGAATTATATATTTTTTCTCCCAACTTTAGGTGCAAGTTGCACTAATTTTCAACATAAACCAGCACAAAGAGAAACACCCATGTTCTTCTTTTGCTAATAATCTTTAGAAACAACGTGTATAATGACGATGACGAAGGAGGAGGAGGAAGAGGAACAAGAGGTGGTGGCACTGATGTGGGAGAAGTGGACGGCTGCGCTTCTTGTCCCTGCTCTTGTTCCATGTCTTTCTCCTTTGATTCTCTCTATATCCTTTTGATCTTTGCTTGGCTTTTTGATCTTTTTCCTATGATTGTTCTCTATTTTGGTTTTAAGTTATTTTAGAGCTTTGGGATTGTTTTCTCGGGAGACTTTGAGAAGAGACGATGGAAATGTGGATACTCTCATATTTGAGCGACCTAGTTAACGGGAAATACCAAGCGCAGTTAGTATCAATGGATTTACCATTCGCACCATGCCACCATTTTATTGGGTCGTGTCCATACGCGCTTAGTAATTGGTGTCACAGTTTTGGAATGCTTTGAGCAAAACTATGTACCCTGTAAGAGACTAAGGACAACATTTACAACTACGGAAAATAACATTTATATATTTTCGGTATTTAAATTTAATTTCAATAATCAATTCAATCAATAACTATCTTTATCGATAAAAAATGATATTAACATAAAGCATAGAGTTGAAATTAATATAATTAAAACAACAATATTTCTTATTTAGAACAACTGTGAACAAATCACCTTTTCTAAGCCTGATTTATTTCTATATCAGTTCTCAAAACATAAATACAAAACCTCTTTCATTCTTTGATTAGGCTGAAGCTTGCAAAATTGGAAAAATGCAAATACCTTGCTGGGGTTGCCAAGCACTTTCCTCGCATTTTTTTAATTTCTTTTTTAAAAATAACTATTATGCTTCCTTGTGGAAAGCAATAAAGTGGGATCCAACCAGACACTTTGGTCCTTTGAAAAATATATAAAGTTTAGACAGACACGTAGCCTATGCTTTGGTCCTCCATTATTGGACCATCCAACCCCACCAACAATTTTCAGTTATGCCTTTTACAGCCATTAACTTATTTTCTTGTATTACCATCGGCTGTAATATAAATTACATAAAATAAATACTTCGTTTGACATTTTAAATGGGAAGTATGTTCTACAATTCAATTGGATGCGAATGGTTTTACATTAGATACTGCACATGTGAGAACCACGGCCAACAGCAACAGCACGAACGAATGAGAAAAGTCACCACACAATGCATTGGTTTCAGCACGAAGTACTTTGTCCTCCACAAAGGCTACCGTGAACACCAAGAACCCGACCACTAACAGAAGCAAACTAACGAAAGAGTCAGAGTCCCAATCAACAACTAATTGATCAAATTGCCGGTAGGTGGAACTAGAAGAGCCTGCAGTAAGGAATCTAGTCCGGTTGCTGTTAGTTTCTTGACGTGTTTTTAACTTTTAATCAGAGGTCATGGTTACAAATTGATCAAAGCATGCATAAGTAAGATTTATCATCAGCCACATTCTTTTTTCGATCGAAGTTAGCGTGAAACCAGTGATTCCTTTGGGCTTTTAGCATGAACTGTTTCTTATGAATGCTAACCAATGACTGGTGCAGCATGGTGGAGGTCCAGCCCCAGGGGAAGCAAATTGTACGTATCGGGTCCATTACTTGCTCTGTCGAGCAACGTGGATCAAATGCTAAAAGAGCATGACCGTATGATCCAAGAGTTTGCTCCAAGAAGAGCGAGGTATAGCAAGAAAAAACTCTATTAATAAACCTTGCAAACTACAATTGACTTGACAGTAAAAATCATTATTGCTCGTGTCTTGGACCCTTGGTGGTGAAGCTGTGGGACAAAAGCAGCTAAACATTTGATGCCCAGAGAGATGATAATTAATTATGTTGTAGCTACTATAAATAGAACATTCATATACTATAGCATGCTCAAGTTGGCACCTTGGCTATAGTGCGTGATCAACTAGTATCTTCTGTTTTTAATATCTATAACTTCAGTTGAACTGATAAACGCATCTGCGGGGATAGCTCAGTTGGGAGAGCGTCAGACTGAAGATCTGAAGGTCGCGTGTTCGATCCACGCTCACCGCAGGTTTCTTTTATTTTTTTCCTTTCGTTAGGTCATCATCATCGATTCCTCCCGGCTCTTTTAAAGTCGATTTAGATGAGAGTCGAAGGGGAAGACTGAAATGTTCCGGCTGGTTGAAGATAGAATGGTGGTGGCCAAAACAGCTGTTAAGTTTCCGCACAAACTCTTTGTCCTCCACAAAGGCTACCGTGAACACCAAGAACCCGACCACGAACAGAAGCAAACTAAAAAAAAAAGTCAGATACCCGAATCAACAACTGATCATTTGGAGTTGACCCTGAAAGCTTTTGAGCCGTTTCAACCCAAGATATTGATCATGTGGGGTGACTTGAATTGTTCAAAAGAGTTTCAGATAAGCTTGGATTTCTTTTCATCTGTTTGATGGATTTGATATAAAGGATTTTTGAATTCCATGGCAATATTGGTTTAAACCGTGAATTAAAGTTTGTTGGAGGTTATTTGTTGTAGGTGATTGTAATTGTGTACATAATTAAAAACGTGGGTTGCATGAGTTCTAAGTCTTTGGCTGTTGAAGATAGACGTGAGAACCACCAAGGGAGGCTGAAGCGAAAAGGTTCATTAGACTCGACCAGCTAATTCGTCGGGAAGAGAGGAGGTTGTTCGATCAAAGGATAAATATGGTGGTGGTGATGTAGAAGTCTTGTTGCTCCATAAGAATGCTACATGCAGCAACTTCTAAGTGGACTTGATCACTGACACAACAATGGTGTTCTTCATCGTGACATAAAGGGTTCAAATCTTTTCATTGACAAATGGAACCTTAAAGATCATTTTGATCCTCACTTTATTGTTCCAATGACTAGTCACGTAGTGACACTTTGGTCGACTACCAGAACTTTTGTTAGGGGCTTCTCATTATGGGGTTGCAGACTTGCACTAGATTTATAGAGTGCTGATTTGATTGCATACTCGGGAAACAGTATTCAGGCAAACCAGTTTCGCCTGGGAAAACAGAGGTACCGCTTTAAATTTTTCCTTTGTATTTTAAAGTAGATGGCATGTATGAATTGAATTTCCTGCACCTCGTAGGTTGAGCAATTACATAAGATTTTTAAGCTTTGCGGCTCGCCAACTGAAGAATACCGGAGAAGAGAAAAATTACCTCATTCAACAGTGTTCAAGCCTCTACAACCGTATAGACCACATATAGCTGAAATATTTAAAGAGTTTCTTTCTCCTACTTTAAGTCTCATAGAGACTTTGCTTTCAATAGATCCTCTTCATCGAAGAACTGCAGCTTTTTCTCTGAAGAGTGAGGTATGCACAAGGTGATCGACCAAGTTTCTTATTTTCTTCCCTCGGTGCGCATGGCTCGTGCTTCTCTATAGCTAATCTATTCAATTTCCCCCCACGCCGTTAAATTACAGGGAGGATAATACCATCCTAGTTTGAAGAGCAGGAATCAGAATCTCAGATGCACAATACCGACAAAGCAGATGCCTTTTCTGGTATTTTGATCATCCTGCACCCCCTAAACAGACACCTGCTGCATAATAAGAAAGTAGAGATTTCCCGGAGCACAACAGAAAGATAATTTCACATTCAGGCCCGTAGGTCAATGGAACTGTGTTTAGGAAGTCCGGGCGGGAACACGATGATCTTCCTATGGTCTCATCCAAAGCCAAATTATCGACATTATCAGGCTTGGTAGCAGATATAACTTCGTCTTCTGAAGACCACAAACAGAAACACTGACCCTTGAATCTAGAAGCAGTGAACCAAGCAGGCAGGCCTCGCAGATCATTTAACGGATTCGAGTCTTCTGGAAAACAGGATGACAGACAACATATGCCGAAGAGCACAGAATCACCGCTGCAGATGGGTCAAAGAGCCTGCATTAAGGAATCGAGTCCAGTTAAGGTTTGTTTCTGGAAGTTGTTTTTAACTTTTAATCAGCGGTCACGGTTACAAATTGATCAAATCATGCATAACTAAAATTTATTATCAACCACATTCTTAATTTCGATCCAAGTTAGCGTGGAAACAATGATTCCTTTGGGCTTTAGCATGCACTTTTCTTATGAATGCTAACCGATGACTGGTGCAGCATGGTGGAGGTCCCAGATTCAGGGGAAGCAAAATGTACGTATCAGGTCCATTACTTGCTCTGTCGAACCACATGGATCAAATGCTAAAAGAGCATGACCGTAAGATCCAAGAGGCTGCTCAAAGAAGAACGAGGCATGGCAAGAAAAAACTCTATTAAAAAACTACAATTGACTTGACCGAAAAATTCATTATTTCTCGTCTCTGGTGGTGGTGAAGCTGTGGGACAAAAGCAGCTAAACATTTGATGCCGAGAGAGATGATAATTAGTTAGGTCATAGCTATTACCTACTATGAATGTGCCTTTGATGGCTGTAATTTATTTCACTCACAGCCTTAGTGTTTGGATTTAGATTTATATGGATTAGAAAATGAATATTAATATAGATGTAGGTACTCCTTACTCCACAATTTCAATTGATATGCATCATAATCTAGCTCGAATTTGATGGATTAAACAGAGCATCCATATTTATAGCATGCTCAAGTTTGCACCTTGGCTGTAGTGTTTGATCAACTAGTGTCTACACTATATTAGTAATCAAATATTTTGTTGGAACCGAAACTTCATATGCCGGGATAGCTCAGTTGGGAGAGCGTTAGATTGAAGATCTGAAGGTCGTGTGTAGGGGTCTAAACGAGTCGAGTCGAGCTCAAGTATTACTGAGCTCGACTCGAACTCGAAAACTATAAATCTAAGCTCGACTCGACTCGAAAACTCGCGAGCCTAAAATTTTCAAACTCGACTCAAACTTGAAAGAGCTCGACTGAAGCTCAAAACTCGAACTCGACTGAAGCTCGAAACTCGATTGAAGCTCGATTCAAGCTCGATTTTGAGCTCGACGGGTTTTATTTTCCGTTGTTGAAACCCATCCACTTTTATACACTCACTTTACCCCCTTATTCCCCAAGAACCAACGATGTGGGATATCAAACCAACTCAAGTTCAACGGTAAGTCTGACAATCTCAACAATTTGCCTTATCTGATCTAACATTGGTCTATAAAAACAGAAAAAGATCCTATTAGCTTCTGCAATAGCCTTCAATGGCTTCCATCATTATACCAATATTCATCTTCTTTTCCATCATTATACCAATATTCATCTTCTTTTTCTTCTCTTCAACTTTCTCTCTCAACGTTTCTTCAACAAATTCTCTGAACCCAAATCTCACTTCCATACGAAGCTTCTGCAAATCAACTCCATACCCAAGTTCTTGTTTCGATTCACTGAAGCTTTCCATTTCAGTAAACATCATTCCCAACATGCTTTTCTACCTCTTTCAAACCCTCAACACTGCATTATCCGAGGCTGCGAAGCTAACAAGTTTATTCTCCAATGGCGGAAATGGAAACGTGATCGTCGAGAAACAAAGAGGAACATTGCAAGATTGCATGGAACTCCATGAATCAACACTATCTTTGTTGAAAAAAATAGTGTCGAGAATCGAAGATGAACACAAGCAAACCTAGTCTATGTTGCTCTAGTGTCTGAAACATTTATTCGAGGATATGACCTCCGAATACATGGAACACCCAAGTAAAATATATACCCGTATTCAACATTTATACTCCAGCCCAAGTAACGTAGACTACTGTAACAAAGGAACACAAGCAAGCCATTCAAGCCTCTAATAGTTTGCATTCATCTTAGAAGATAAATATCAAACTGAGCAGTGTAAAAAATTACAACAGAAAGAAGTGAAACTAGAAAGGAAATGAACTCAACTTGCTTTCCGTTACCTGCAGGAAGTCCATAATCAGCAAGCAGGTACAAGAGGAAAATTTCGTTCCAGACATCAGGTAACTCAGGAAGACACCAATGGCTACAATCAGGTACCAACGGATTGTCACTCCACCCACTCACATGTGCATCTCTCCGGAAGGCTGACATTGAAGTTACTTGCAAAATGGATTCTGGGTCACATTGCAAAACTTGCGGGATTTTTCACTGATGCAGAAACCAAAAAATAGTAATGATTTGTAAATTGACAAACAGAGTTCATTTGGAAATTAACCAAATAAGTAAATATTGTAATAGATACTATGTAGATAAATGGTATTAGATTATTGACCGCGCAAGGAACCCATGAAATAGACCCAACTCCAAAGCCTTTTTATCAGAAGATTGAAGAATGAAAAAAATATTTGGGAAACTGTGAAGCAGATATCAAGTTGTGAAGCAACTCAAATTGTACATAGAAATCAATTCAGGATTGTTTGTTGAAAAAGAGAAAAAGCTGCAACATATGTGTGTGTATGCCACTGATTAACAGGATTAACAGGATGGCAATCCAAAATAAGGACAAAAACTTATTTAATTTAGCAACCATTGGATGTGTTTTCTGAAAGAGCATTATGGTGCATCAGAGCATTCCGCTCAGTCATAGGTGCAAGTGTCATAGTATTATTGGTTACCTCCAGTGCGATGGCTCAAATGTTCGGAAGAAGACAAGTGTTCTGTTGGCGTCAATCGTGTTCTCAACCCATGATGCCCAAGTACTTAATGTTGTTTTATAGACAACAGGAATTGACATTCCAAGCTTTACTGAGTTCCCAACCTGGAAGTAGCAACCACTGCCAAAGAAGACATATAGGAAATTTTCTTGCATGTGTATGTAAAAGCACCTGGGAAATATTTTTTCAGCTAGTCATGGTAAGTTCATTGGATACTAAATGGTAAAAAAATAACACATTTCAAGTATATTTTTTAAAATACCAATAATTTTGTAACAAAAGGAAATGTTGTTCCCTATAAGGTTTTGAGTTTAAATAAATGTATCTGTAGGATGTGTGAGCATTGTTAATTGATTAAGAAAATTTTAAACATATTACTTTATAACTATCCCAAATTCTAATTCCATTCTAAAACACTTTAATTGTTTATAATTATATATATCATAATCCTATCATGTATTTACCTCGACTATTCATATGATTCAAATTCGTCATTTTTTATTAAAAAATTGGTGATTGTATGATATTGATGTTAACCTGTTGACTAGGGTATGATAAAATATGATCCCATCGTTTTAGTTGTATTTGTACATCAAATCTCCGTTTACATTATGTCGTCGAGTCAGTTCTTGAAATATTATGTTGGTGAGTCAGTGCTTGAAAGCAATGACGATGTCGATAGTCATCATTAAGATAGGATAAAATCATGTCTCAATCACCAAGTTGTGTATATTTATTTTGCATGTTGATATGTTTATGTATAAGTATGTGAATGGTTTATTTAGGAGTCACATAACATCATTTTGCATAATTTGTATGTTACCTTCATGTGCATAACTTAACCTCTATCACATAATCGGATTTAGGGTTTATGATTTAGAGTTTAAAGTTTAGGGTTTAGAATTTAAGTTTTAGGACTTAGGGTTAATTATAAATACATTAATTAATCGACTTGGTACCGATTTATGAGGTAAGTAGAATATATATATTAAATGCGTTACAATATGGTTTAGTTGTATTATAGAATTTTTAATATATTTTTAAAATTTTATAATTATCAATAATGTATTTTTAATATATTTTTAATAATGTAATGTTAAAAAATCTAAAATTATAATATAACATTTTTTTTCGAGCTACTCACGAGCTTTTCGAGTCAAATATCAAGTAGCTCGTTTCGGCTCGTTAAGAACTCGAGTCGAGCACGAGCTCAAGTCGAGTCCATTCGATCTGAGTATTTATCGAGCCTTGATCGAGTCGATCTCGAGTAGCTCGCGATTTGTCTCGTCTCGTTTACAATCCTAGTCGTGTGTTCGATCCACACTCACCGCATATCTTTAATTTTATTTTTACTTTCGTATCATCGTCATCGATTCCTCCGGGCTCTTCTAAAGTCAATTTACACGAGTATTATTGAGTTTTGAAGCGGGTATCAATTGTCAAGATGAGGTTTTAGTTCTCAAATAGAGTAGAAGCGAACGAGTTCTCACCGTCGTTCATTATTTTCACAAACATTTACTAATTAAAATTGGCAAAGATGGGTGTCTTTGCTCGATTCATCCTTTCAGGTTTTTTTGTTGGGAGA